CTAGCGACCCGCCCCGGCTTCGCACGGGTGCAATATGCATGTATTATACATATAAACCTTCCTTACGAATCACTCTATCTATTAAAATAAACCGCATTAAAATCCGTTGCGTAGTTCTAAAGATCTAAGCATACATAGGGACAGACAGACGGCGGATAGCGACTTTGTTTTATACTATGTAGTGATAATTCTAGTACTCAGATCTATAGAGCTAACTGAGACCAGCTTATGTATACACAAGGCATAATAGTAATATATAATGGCAATAGACTCGTCCCTTTTCACATGGGTGTCATAAATATGAAACAAAAATTATGTAAAAATGATGTTCGTGTCTTAGTAATATATGTTCATATATAAAGGAGCATTCAACCCTTTGTATATAAATATAAACTGACCTTTCTAACTCACGCTGTATATCACATCAAAATAACAAATGCTAATGTTTGAACGCATTTGTTTTGCAATTCTTCACACTGCAAAGGTTCACAGTCATGTACCCTAAAAAGGGTCAAATTTGGAAGAGAAGGTAACTAATCTTGACTACATAGCATAACCTACCTTTTCACACAGTTATAAGGTACATTATGTATGAATGCAAATGAAAGCCAGAAGAAAATATTTAAAATAAAGCCTACTGTTTAAATTAACTTTAAGACACACTTAATGCTAGCTCTGGTGCTGCTAAAACACTTTAAATTACAGTGATAAATGGAGAGTTAATAGCCATTTCTAGATGTGGTATGTTTTGTTATTGCAGACTCATAAGTGGTATTTGCTTGAGCCTTCATGTGAACATTTAGTTAAGCTAAGTGTAATGAAATCTGTGATCAAATATTCAGTGCTCAAATTGCTGATACCTACTTCTATCCATAAAAACTACTACTTAAAGAGGATTCGAAACCAGGCTAAATTCAATTGGATTTTAGAAGACCTCTCAAAAAACAAAAACATCGAAAGGTGAATCCTGAAAAAGGTTTTAAAACTCGCTGAAAGTGCCGCAAAAAACTTAGCTAAATGGGAATTGCGTGCGAAAGCGCCACTCCATTTTGATAGTCGGATTATTTACGGCGTGCAACCATTTTTACAGCGCGAAAAATATGGAACATATTTGCATGTCAGTTGAGTTTTTGCATTATTCACGAACATTTGATTGTTGTTGTAAAAAATATGAAATATTTTGTTAAAATACTCGGCAAAAATAACGAGGTTTCAAATGATAGCTGGTAGCTGTTACTTTATTATAGTAAACGAATTTATCAAAATACTAGTGAAGTTAAGGATTATCTTTTTACGGGGGCCAATTTAGTAAAATACTAACACTATTGACGCCTTTTAACTGTGGTCTGTTCAAATAAGATAACTGAGCTCGCCTTTTATTTTTGTCGTAGAATTGAAGCGTCCCAAGCGGTTTCATCTCATATCAAAACACATTCAACGATCTCAAATATTTATCTAACACAACAAAGATTTCTTAAAATTGAGTTTAGTTCCAACTAACTTTAGAAATTGGATTAGTTAGTGTGTCCAATCTCAACAAGTTTCGGGGATATATTGTTATTGGATGGTGAGCAAAAATGTAGTTTACAAACAATCAAGCCAATTTAACTTATATAAAAGCAATGGACATTCTTTTATGAGCTGAAAGTTTATAAATTAATTTAAGAGTAATGGAAAACTTCGGTATATTTTCTAGAAGACGAAAAATAATTGGAATATACGCCTGAGTACATAGTATCTATGTCCTTATGCGCAACCTGTAATTCGATCGATGCTCGGCGATTGTATTACCGAACAAGGTACATAGGTCCACTCACCGTCACTCTGCAATAGAAGCTAGACAATCAATATCAATCATGAGCTGTTGACTGTCCAATTGTTCGTGGTTAGCTACGAAATTATTCAGGGTGCGCGGAAATGATTGAAGCGTACTACAGTATGCATCCGTGATTGCTGCGAGCATCGCTCAATATTTATTAGAACTGTTCATTCTTTTGTCTGTTGTTGGAATCGTTCGGGACGGAAATAGATTTCTTTAAAGCATTTAAATTTATAAAGGCATTGTTTACTAGTATAAGTGAATTAATCACTATCACTACATAGTATAAAACAAAGTCGCTATCCGCCGTCTGTCTGAACCTATGCATGCTTAGATCTTTAAAATTATGCAACGGATTTTGATGCGGTTCCAAAAGACAGAGTGATTCTTAAGGGTGGTTTATATGTACATATAATACATGCATACCACCCGTGCGAAGCCGGGGCGGGTCACTAGTAAAGTATAAAACTACCGCTGTCGTCTACAAAACCATAAAACAGAACGGTTTCATAACAACACCGTAAGTGTCAGGTAGCACTACAAAATAAATTGTAAGCCTGTTCCCTCTAAAGGTTCTCATTTCTAAAGAAAAGTTCGCAGGGAAACTTGACAAAGGATTATACAGAATCGACCTTTAGCACACCTTTACCTAGCTTGTTAAGCCTTATCATTGTAACTAATAACCCGCCACCATCATAATAAGATGTAAAGATGTAAGTAGTAAAGTGATAAAGTATATTTTTTAATAGGATAAGGTGGTAAACTAGCACACGGATCACCTGAGTAAGCAATCGGCGTCACCCATGGACACCCGGAACACTAGAGGCGTTACTGCGTTACCGGCCTTTTGGGGATTAGGAATTTGAGGATTGTTGGGCTTCCAGCGTTGTTTCAAGTAGGTTTTCTGCAAGGCTGTGGTATCACTCCGATAAAAATATAAATTATTTTGAAACAACACAATCGAAGTCTCTAATGAATCACTTTCATCATCATCATTTTTCAATGCAATTATGTGCATTGTCTAACAGACGCTAATTGTTATAGTTAATACTGATTTGTTTGACTTGTTGATTGTGTAACAATAACGCAACATAAATCAAAGTAAAGCAACCAGTTTTTACATGTTTAACGCATTCATTTCAATGATAAAATAAGTTTGTTCTACAAACTATTTTATCATTGTTAAACTAAGCAGTCGTTTCTGAAATCCCGTCCGCTAGTAATGGTGTAACTTTGCAAATGGCGAACCAATTTTATTATCGCAAAAGTTTCGAACGTGCACCGTATCAGGAAACATTTAACTTGGAAGAATTATCTCACAGATAAACGTAATAATTATGGCCGACTGACTTATATAATCTGCAGAGTTTTGGCCAGTTTTATTATATTAGTTACTGCTAGCGAACGTGTTGCGACAATAACATAACATAACATCACTCCCTTTTATCCCCGAAGGGGTAGGCAGAGGTGCACACAGAAGTAACACCCACTTTTCACTATTTACGTTATGAGTCCCATGTAATAGGGGGTGAGCCTATTGCCATATACCGGGCACATTTCCAGACTCCGTGCTACTTACTACTGAGATTTTTAAAAACCCAGTAATACTTTGCCCGACCCGGGAATCGAACCCGAGACCCCTTGCCTGGCAGTCGCACTTGCGACCACTCGGCCAACGAGGCAGTGTGTTGCGACAATATAGCGAAAATAATTTATACTTGGTGCAACTGAACAATATTTTAACTGAATAGTAAAAGTACCGTTCGTAGTTTCGAGTCCAGTTCATGCGATCAAATAGTAAAATACTAACTCAAATATTAGAAAAGATAAAATTTCATAAAACATAAAATTGTATGTACATGTATTCTCTACGTAGAACTGTGGATGTCCTTTTTTATCGAAACGTGAAGCGCTTGTCAAGTTAAACATTGAAACTACGCTTCCGATATTTCAATTTCATACACGTCCTATGGAGGTACAAAATTTGAAACTAAAAAGACAAAACCACAAAACTGGAGTGTTCTATCTAGCTTCAGTAACTACGTGTACTCAAATGAATACCTCTACTACTTTAATATTAATTCGATTTGAAACATTGATTAGACACGAATATGCAAAGATGATAATAACATTAAATAAACAATGCGATGTATTAAATGTATAGTGAAAGTTAAAAGTTCACGACCCGTCCATAGGATCGGGTGTGTCTCCACCTGGCAACACCACGGCTGTTGATACATATTTGTATTTACGAATTCACACTTTTTATTGTACAGCAATAAAATGCGTGAATATATTAATTTCTCTCTGCGATGAATTCAGATCGGGGCTATTCATGTCACCATCAAAGTGATCTATTAGCACCGTGTGACGATATAACAAAAGGAGTAATAATTTATGGACAATGTTCGGGTCAAACTCAGTGATTTGTACCTAGTCGATTTTTTTCACATGCATGAATGAGATATCGGAGTTCGAACATGAATTATGAGGCAATAACGATTAAGATTCAAAGATATGGAACGACATAGACTTTAAATCTATATTCTCTTGTTTACAGATTGGAACGTAAGCAATAAACTACAATTAATGATGGTGGACCGAGTTTTGGGCTGTCTCTTCCGAAAATACAACACGAACAGTGAGTATGACAATGGTTGCTAATGAATCTGCGTAATCATGCCGCATTCAAACATAACGGTAGCTGTCACCTCAGTTGTTATTTAATTACTTGGAAGTTGGGGCGGGTGAAGTTATTTGATGTGGTACGACCGCGCCAACAGACTATCAGAGTTAGTTATGCACAGCCGTTTGCTCTTTGACACGATCTCGTTGTTTCCAACTGTGCTCTGAAAATATTGTTATTCTATAGTTTGTCATGAAAGTTAAATAATAACGTAATTCTTAGAAATAAGTGTGCTTTTGTGCACACCTTGTTGTTTGTTTGGTTACAAATTAATATGAGTACTTAAAATGTATAAGCTGAAAATCCTACCATTATCACTGTTATCTAAAGTGATATTTGAATTTTGGCGTACTAAACGTCACAGCCGCAACAAATGGCACTATATCGGGTTACCAGATTGACTAATATTATATATTTGACATAGAAACTTTATGTTTTTAATTTAATCAGTGAATATCGTGTGCAGTATGCGACGTGGATTCTCGGTGAGAGGGCATGGAGGGCGCGGACGGCCGCGATGATCTGCTAGAATGGGAGGCCCTGTACTTGCGCCTGCCGCTGCAGAACTCGACGTGGAACGCCACGGGATGGGACTCGGGCACGTGGAACGTGACGGGGGTGCCCAACGCCACGTGGTGGGAGGCTGCCGCGCCCTTCGACTCGCCGGCCGCGCTGGTCCGCGCCGCCGCCAAGGCCGTCGTACTCGGACTACTGATTCTCGCCACTGTAGTCGGTAATTATACACCTTTGATATCTTACTCGCGTTTCCTGATCGTTTCTTAAGTAACTAATGATTTAATTGTTCACTGTCAGGAGTAGACACAAGTAAACATTAGGCGGGTAAATGCTGAATTTTGAGTGATAGTTAGGATAGAAAATGTGCATGTCTGATGAAAAGTTGATCGGATAACTTAAATTAGAATAATTCGTCTATTCATTGTTGTATTTTTCCTTGTACTATGCTTTGGCGAATTACAATTTAGTCCAACAAACAAACTATTATGAAATATTTCATGTATCAGACCTGAAAAAGTAATAAAGAAAATAGTTCACTACGTTTCTACTATAACTTTTCTCAATTTACAACATTCATCCAAAATGCTCGCTTCGAATCTAGCTATCAGAGAACTCCATTTGTTCAATCTGTCTTTTGGCCTTGTGCGCTCATATCGAACAGTTTCACATCATATTTCAAAGCATTCATAGTTTCTCTATTTCCGCACTTCAATATAGACACTGAATGGGCTGTCTCTTGAAATAGAAACTGGAAAACATGCAATTTTACTATACATGATTGATTGTACAGTGTCAGCTCAAGCTTAGATATTTAAGTACTGAGTCTTATATTATAGGTTCCGTTTGTGTATAACACATACGTAAAATGTGTTCAACTTTGAAACTGGGAGACTATGACACTTCAATTGTCGTTTGAAACAATTTTGGCTTGGTCGCACTCACTTGTGCTAACGTAGACATGTTATACTTGAATTCCTGTGTAGCAACTCTTGTAGTTGATTTTGGTTGGCATGCAGTTTCGTTGAACATGTTACAAGTTTGCAATTTTGCCACGAACACGTTCAAGTTTACAATGTAGACTAGTATAGCCTTTAGCGTTGATATTTTCAAATCCGAATCTTTATTTTTGTTTTAGGAAATGTATTCGTGATAGCAGCAATATTGTTAGAGAGGCACCTGCGCAGTGCTGCCAACCAGCTGATCCTGTCACTGGCGGTGGCAGACCTGCTGGTGGCATGCCTGGTGATGCCGCTGGGCGCCGTGTACGAGGTGGCGCAGCGCTGGACGCTGGGCCCCGAGCTCTGCGACATGTGGACCTCCGGAGATGTGCTCTGCTGCACCGCCTCCATTCTACATCTCGTTGCCATTGCACTTGATAGGTGCGGCGGTAAAACTTAGCATAACTGAAACGTAAACAATATTAAGAGAGATAAGAGAGTTTAAATATCTTCTTTATTGTTCTAGGTATTGGGCTGTGACAAACATCGATTATATCCACGCAAGAACCGCACGTCGAGTAGGACTCATGATAGCGTGCGTGTGGGTAGTAAGCTTCCTGGTGTGTATCGCACCGCTCCTGGGATGGAAAGATCCCGACTGGGACCGAAGAGTCTCTGAAGACCTACGTTGTGTCGTCAGTCAAGACGTGGGTTACCAAATTTTTGCGACAGCATCGTCGTTCTACGTGCCAGTTCTCGTAATTTTAATATTATACTGGCGAATATACCAAACTGCCAGAAAAAGAATACGTCGGCGGAGAGGGGCTACCGCGCGTGGTGGAGTGGGCCCTCCCCCCGTGCCTGCTGGCGGAGCGCTGGTCGCAGCCGGCGGCAGTGGTGGGATCGCAGCCGCCGTGGTAGCAGTCATAGGACGACCTCTACCGACTATATCCGAAACGACTACAACGGGATTCACAAACGTATCTTCGAATAATACAAGCCCCGAGAAACAGTCGTGCGCTAACGGCCTGGAGACAGACCCGCCGACGACGGGTTACGGGGCCGTAGCTGCCGCCTACTATCCCACGCTAGTGCGGCGTAAACCTAAAGAAGCTGCTGACTCCAAACGTGAGAGGAAGGCGGCGAAAACATTGGCAATAATAACCGGCGCGTTCGTAGCGTGTTGGCTTCCCTTCTTCGTATTGGCCATTTTAGTGCCGACGTGTGACTGCGAAGTAAGTCCTGTGCTGACATCATTTTCACTGTGGCTGGGCTACTTCAACTCCACCCTGAACCCGATTATCTACACGGTGTTCAGCCCGGAGTTCCGGCACGCGTTCCAGCGGTTACTATGTGGGCGGCGCGCGCGCCGTCGCCGCGCCCCGCCGTAGCATCCCCCTCCCCTCGCCCCACCCGACTGACCTCGTCTAGTTCGAAACATACTTATGTTACCTTGTTACATTTTCAGAGATATATTTACACCCCTTTATTTTTTGTACGTGATGAATGTGAATACGAAAACCTGTCTAGTAAATAAATCACAAATTCTCTTTATAAAGTTGTTTCATTCGTTCCCGTGGGCCAGACAGAAAGCGGCTCAGATTAAAATGAAAGCATTATAATGAAATTTCGCAGTCGGAAGAGGAGGTTTACACAATTTTACAAATAGCTATTAAAACAAATAGTTACCCTGAAGAAAAGTTCCAGTTGAAGCTAAATAAGAAGCCAAAACGCGGGAATTATATTTGTCCCGAGAGTTCTGAGTTTATATATTAAATGAAAAGAAGAAAGGTTTTTCCCCGAGCTAATCAAAGTATTATTTTTTTTATACAAACGTTACAATAACTTAGTAAACACTACTCTAAGTCGCGACTTTTTGTAAAGTTTGAACCCTGGGCACGGACGTATAATATACACAACTTTCATCAGTTCTTTAATTGTCTTCTAAAGTCATTTTATTGCTAAAAGTTCGTTAATATCGCGAGCATTAAAACCAGAATTACGATCGTACATCAAAAAGTGAGTTTCGACAGTATACGCGCACATTGGTTGAGTTATGAAATAATGCTACGAGGCAGCGCCACGCTCAAATGGCCACTTTATCACAATTAATGGATAATCAATGAATAATTACTCATTCAAACCTTCAATATACGATAATAGAAGCTCGCGCCCTATTACGAGCTTTTCATGGAAATTGATGTGCCATTTTAATTAATTCAATCGCGGCTCAAAGTGGCTACTACAGCGTTTCGGTAATATGTGCCTGCGTACATGTACATCGAATAAAGTAGATCTCACTAGACACGAACCTTTTTATTAGGTTATACAGCTTTAGTACAAAAAGTAAGTGGAAAACTGTAATATCTTGAAATCATAAAACCTCTTTCAAATAGGTCTAAATGTTAACTTTTCAAACTGTAAAAGCATCCGTACATCAAATAAACCGTTTATATTACTGGCGAGATACATAAAAACGTAGATGTTTCAGATAGCCAATAATAGAAAGAATCTTAAAATTCTGTGATTAAATTCCATTCAAGTGAAATATTTTTCATAAAGCTCGTCTTATATTGACCGTAAACCGTGAGAGTCATTTACCGATAAAATGTCCATATCTTTAATGTGCTATTAGATTGCCTGCTTGTTCTTTATATGTCGGGACAGTAATAATTTTATTATTATTACTTGGATGATAAGTAAGCCGTCATTTATTCTGACATTCCGAAATAAGTGCCACTTTTACGATCCCTTTTTTTCATTATTACAGAATTATATTTCATTCAATTTGTAATACAATATGGTGTTCTCGTCGCAATGAACAAACAAAATATGATATCTCGTTTGAATAAATGGCTACAGACGGACTCAGACGGTAAAAACACGTGAAGCGGAGTGTCAGTTTATATCGGTCAATAAATCTGAGGAAAATTATGTCCGTGCAGTTCAAAACTACGTTTACTAAATATTTTATGACTCCTGTCTTGTCAGTGAACACTTTTATATTTAAACTTTGTGACCTCTGACAGGCGCGCACTTACTACAGAGTAGCTCAATATAAACTCGGGCTCATGGATACAACATCACAAAGTTCTAGAGTAGCAGACGTTAGAGAATTAGTATTCATTAATTCCTTAAGCCGGGTTGACTATAAAGCTGATCCTTTGTGCGAGCCTATAATCCTCGTCCAATAGATTCCCTAAATTACTGTAGTCAGTAGGTGCGGCCCGAGCTCGGCCCAGAACTAACATTCACTTTACTGACATCGGAAGTGTCTGATTACCATAAATCCGTTACAAAACTTTGTCTGGCGAACTTTGACCATAAACAATATCAGCGGCTTCCCTGGAGTCTCTGGTACTAAGCGCTTACATTGTACTGTCACAACTTGGCCTCTTAATTTCCAGCATCAGTTAATTAAATTTTTGTATCAAAATGGTTCATGTATAGCACAGAAAACTCGTAACGAAGTCTCAATAACACGTATTTTAATTAGTTTCGTTGATCGTTATCAAAATTGTTTTCGTTTACTAAAGTTCAGCTGTTTCAAATGTTGCTTTCAATATCGCGCAATAATATTTTAAATTTAAGCCAATAACAAAACAGCAGTTGTTGTATAAATGTGAAAGTTTTTAAACTAATCAATTTATAGTTGAACTTGAAAGGCGAGGGTTTCTTAGCACAAGTGACGCCATACCCGAAATTTCATACAAAAACAAACATAAAAAGCTATCAGCATTGCTTCTTACAATTTCACATAAAGCATGGTATACTGAACCCTATTCCGTTAACTATTATGCACAACTATGGCAATCACTGTAATGGCAGGCATAGGTAATTATCCCAAGGACTAATGATAACCGTCCGGATTGCTTATTAACATTAACGATACGATACTTGTCCGTTATGAGGAAACTCCAATAATAGTAATAAATATGAAAGTACAGCGACGTCATAGTACAATGTTTTTAGCACTTTGGACTTAGAAGGTAGAATATAAACTAAAAAAGTATAAACTTAGGGGTAAGCGGGTAAAATCAATGACTGCTCCCGCCTGGGTGAGGTGGGAGGGAGTGTCAGACTCTTACTGACTAAAAACCACCCCGTTCCTTCTTCTGCACGTCGAGCCGGAGCCCCGGTAACCGGTAACAGGTTCTCCGCGACATAATCTAGTACTTAACATTAGAAAATAATTAAGTAAGCATGGTTTTTGGAAAATGAATTCTTTGACTAACAGTAATAAAACACAGAATACAATTCGACCAACTTAACGACAAAAATATCGCTATTCATTACTTCTCTCGAAATTATACTGCGCACTTTCACACAAACGTCGTAGTTATGAGTCGATAATAAAGTGATATCTCGTACTAACGCATCCAATACTTGTCCAGTTAAGTACAAACTTAATGACTGTCATAATAAGCCAGCTATCTAATTTACTTACACAGCGTGTGATGGAAATTCTCATTAACTGCGCATGCAAAGTTTATCTACACAGGCAGGAAAGGAGTGTTTTATTTACGAACCGAGAGAGTAGGCGAGATGCACCGATGTTATGACATATTTATTAGCTTTTAACTTCTATAAACTTGTTCCTTTTTCTTTATTATTGATAATTTTCGTAGTCAAAATCAATCAATCAATTACTCAAAAGCCGGATTAAGGATAATTGCGCCATAATACCATGTACCTTTATTATTAATAAATAAATAATAATAATAAAAGTAAAAGAAATATTTCAATCAAATAATTAACCAACATTACTCTAGCACCGCATAAAAGAAACTCTTGAACTAGTTGGGAAATGGCCAAGAAGGAAATATATGTCAAAGTCGGTACCGTACGGACGGTATCAGTATAAAACATTTAAGAAAAAATTCCCGTCAAGTACAAAATATACGTGAAATATCAGGCAGTTTAAGGCGTGGCAACTAATGGCAAGATGGCGCCTGCATATATTAGGTAGATATTTACGCCGTTGCATTTTGGCAGGCAACGATAAGTACTCAAAACCGCCTTAAAACACAGAGGTATATTAAAATGGTTCTTTTTACTATAGATTACAGTACTAAAGACAAAAATGAACTGTTAAAACATATCTATCTACTGTACAACAGGACCGATAACACGTTTAGAGGGCAGCAGTTAACAATAATTGAACGTAATATTTTACTTATCGGATCACAGTATCGAATATCAGTCAGTTAAAACCACATAGGTAAAATTAATCCTTATTTCGTAAAATACAAGTCTACAACATAGTATAATGTAGGTAAGTCAGAAAATTATTCGTAGTTCATTCAGTATTATTATTCATGTATCTATTTGTTTTCATATAAACCACTGAGCATTAACACAAGTTGAATAAAAAGAGAATTGTTTTTATAATTTCGTCTTGCATATTATTAATTTTAAAATCGGGATTCTGTAAACCAATAAAATCATGGTTGTCAAATAAGTAATTTTCATTTGATGACAAAATTAAACGTAGACTGTAAGTTTAATAAAATTCGACATGTTATTACTTCGTTCTTGCTCAATAATATTGATGAGTTTTGATGCACGCATTTTGTTTATTAAACACATCAAATAATCTCTCAACGTCTTCAATGAAACATATTGAAAAACAAAAATCTATTTATAAGCAACACTGATTTTAGAAATCAAATATCAAAACGTACATAAGGATTCAATCAATTCCAAATACGAACAGAAATTAAAAAAAATATTTGCAATAACGACTTACTAATTACAAATTGCTTAAATAAAATGGCTTAGCGTTTAATAAGATTAAACAAAAATAAGCTTTATATTTCATTGAAAAGTAAAGGCAGTTTGGTCGTTTTTTACGTGTTTGAAGTCTAAATAATTAATTGAAAAAATATTTTCAATGCTCGTCAAATAATAAAAACATTTAAAAAGCTTATTCAAGTGTGAATTTAAACGCAATCGAGTAAGTAAATGTTAAGCGTCTTATACCTAATACAGTTTGTTAAACACTATATATATGTATGTTAGATAAGATTAAATCTTAATTACCGATAGGAATATGGTTTATATTTGCTCACAGTTATTTCTAAAGAGCATTGTTAGTAGTAAACAAAGGTACTATTATTAGCTTATTGTTAAAGTTTTGCTACAATAGGGAAATTAGAACTGTGAGCGGAATGGTATTTCATTAATGTGTGTTATTTTCTACACATGACTGCCTCATTGGCCGTATGGTCACAAGTGCGATTGTCGGGCGAGGGGTCTCGGGTTCGATTCCCGAGTCGGGCAAAGTTTTACTGGGTTTTTTTTTTAAATCTCAGTAGTAATACGGAGGCTGGAAATGTGTATATGGCAATAGGCCCACCCCCTATTACATGGGACACATAACATAAATAGT